GTGTAGCAGTTCTCGCCGTAAAGCAAGACCGACTCTCGCGATGCACCAGACTTCTGAGCCGGCGGGTGCAGGCCGAGGGCTCCTGCAATTGCAAGTACGGTATTTCCCCTACAGACCACCAGGGAGGCCGAGAAAACCTTTGTTCGAACTCAAATGACTCGTTTAATCATCCCAAACCTTATGGAACACATTAATTAACTGAAAAATGTTGCATAGTGTGCCTTTAAGTCTGATTGAAAATAAAAAAATAAAATAAAGCGTTTGTATAACTGGGTATAAATTCATTTTTTAATATTGATTTCTTTAAATATCTCTGAAAAGGCAGCCAATTTCTGAGCCTGTCCTTGGTCCTGTGATGACATGTAGGTTTTTTTTTATGAGATTTCTTTCAGTTCTGGTGTTAAGTTGCTTGGACGCCAGTTGTTTTGCACTTGGTTGTAGATTGCTTTCCGTACCGTGCAATAGCAAAACATGCCATCAGTTCAATATGTGTATTATTCTTCACAGACTTTTACTGGCACAGGAAGAGCAGCCTGTGTCACCCACTGAAGGTCATGATTTGTCTTTAACTCTGCCAGCTGCAGTTATGACAGATGGACAGCTTCCTTTACAAACTGAAATAAATAAAGACATGGGATACAAAAACAGCAGATAACCTCAGCGAGGCATGCAGTAACTAAACCATAACACGACCAGTTTGTAAGGGCGAACTCAATCGAGTGGATACATTTCAACGAGTCGAACACAGATGGCAGCCTTCAGCTTTTATAGGCTTTAATATTCAAGCAAAAATGCATCGTTTCTCTTCATAGGCATGTATACCGAAGGTCTGTGTTGAATACCCTACTGGTCCTTTTTCTATAATGTGTCCAAGGTAAAACTATACAGTGCCAGATAATTTAATTTGCTATATATATTTATTTTTTTATTTTTCTGATTTGTTTATTTGTTGTTGTTTTTTCTTGGCCAAATGACATAAATGTATATAAACACACAGTAGCCTGCAGATTAATTTCATATTATATCAAAATGTTCTATATCGCAATACTTCAATGAATTTGATAGAATATTGCAGAGTTGTGCAGTAGTGTTAACTGCAGAGATACACTGAAAAAAAAATCTAGAAATAAGTAAAAATGTCTTAAATTAAGTGTATTTACCCTTAATTTGAGCAGGTAAATGAGATAGTTTGCCAATGGAATGAGTATTTTTACTCTTAAAATAAGATAATTAGATAATATGCACTTGAAATTAGACAATGCAATTGTGTTTTCTTATTTTAAGTATAAATCCTCTTGTTCCATCAGCAAAATGTCTCTTTTACCTCCTTAATCCAAGAACACGTTGACCACCCCTGTTAGCAGAAACACTGGAACCAAGCTGTTGGTTATTTACACATTTATAAAATATCAATTATGGCTTTAATAACAATAATACACAAACATAAAAAAACCCCAACTTGTTTTGTTTCAAATCTTACTTATGTTTAATCTTGAACAGTATAACAAATTATATTTCAATCTGAAAAACTCACAGAGAGAGAAAGATGCAATTAAAAGAGTTTTATTGATACAATAGTTTGAACTTTGGCGCTCAGGCCTCGGCAGGAAACATAAACGCTGATTTATACTTTAATGCAGATAAACTGATGTATGAGAGTATGGATATTTCCCCCGGGCCTGAAACTGGTGGTGGAGTTCAGATAGATGAAGTTTGGTTAATCCATAGAGGCTGGTATACAGGGTGATGCTTGAGTTAGATGTCACTGAATGAACAAAGTTTGCATTAACTATCCATGAACTGTCCATGAAGAGCAAGCATGAAGCGACTGTGGAGAGAAAAAACTCCCCTTTGGGAAGAAATCTCTGGCAGAACCAGGCTCAACATGGGGGTCTTCTGGCGGACCGTTTAAAGTGACAGAGAACTCCATGAAAGTCTGGAGGGAGTACACACTGGAGGTGAGGTTGAAGGAGCATCGAGGAGGAGTCGGATGAGCTTACTACGATGGTGGAGAAGGGGATGGAGGTGGGTTGTCTGAATCAAAGTCCTACATAGGAGCGACGGTTCTTGCGCTTGTTGAAGAGCAGGCTGAGAGATGATTTGGAGTTGGTGAGTGCTGGAAGATGATTGGGCATCGAGGAGATGTAGCTTGAAGCGGATTGCCTGCATCGGAGGCGGATCAGCTTCAGATTGAATGGAAGTAATCAGAGTTTCTTCAGTTGAATTTCCGTCTTAGCTTCATTTCTTTTTTTTTATTTTTTATATATACCTGCAGCAGGAACAGACCAAATAAATTGATGTGCCTGTCATGATTTTATCTAAGGCTCGGATCCACATGCAGTGAAACCAAACACAGATGAAAAGTTTAACAGGTTTTATTGAAGAGATTCAGCTCGGTGCAGCGTTGCTCTGAACTCTGCTCAGCCGGAACTGGAAGGAGAGGGGAACACAGACTATTAGTTCAGGCTCAGTGGGAAATTTCATTCGTTGATTTGAAGAAGAGAATCTGGTTGTTGACTCACGTTTCCAGAGAAGTAAAGGATCTTTGACTCCAATCTGTGTGTTGTTTTCCAGAGTTTGTCTGATACGGTGGAGGGCGGAACAGGGTTTACCCAGAACTCGGACGGTGTAGGTGAACGGAGACGCTGATTGCCACTCAGATTTCCTGCTGTACTTGAACGGGTCGTGGTGAAGATTAGGGATGCACGATATAATCGGCCCCCTATCGGTATCGGCCTGTATCGGCCTTAAAACTGAATATCGGACATCGGCCACCCCACCGATATTTAACCCGATATTTGATCAGCTTCTGAGTTTTTCTAAAAAAAAAAAAAAAAAAAAAAAATACTACATCTTCTTCTTCCTCAAAAGCTTATTTTTTACAGACTTAAAAACTTCTAAAGATGAGGGAAAAAATATTGATACATTAAAATATCACAATATCTTCATATGCTGATATATTGCCATTTAAAAACACCATATCAATCTCTTTTACTAATGAATATTGCTATATGTCATCGTTATGCTACGAAATCCCCCAAAAATTCACGATATTTTGCCATATTTTTATATGTTGATATATTGACGCGGTATTGATCTATTTTACTAACAAAATCTCATAAGAATTTGCAAAATATCACGAGAGTTTGTAACAGAACGATGAAATTTCACGAGATTTTGAAAGTAAAATAGATCGATACCGCGTTTTTAAAAATCAAATTGATATCAGCATATGAAAATATATTTGAGTATATTATTTTTCAAAGTGTCAGAAATGGAAAACAAAACTGCTATTTTCAATGACTACTTATTGTTGTACAGCTGTAACATCGGTATCGATATCGGTTATCGGCTACATGAGTTTTAAAATATCGGCATATCGGATATCGGCCAAAATCCCAATATCGTGCATCCCTAGTGAAGATGATTCCCTTGCTCAGAGGGTAATTTCAACGTCCTCTCAAGGAGACTGGATCCTCCTATTTGAATCCCAGTTTAAGGCTCAGTTGATCCCTCCTGGTAGTGGAGGTCCGAAAAGGTCCAGTTTGCAGGATGACTTCCAAAAACTGGCAAACACTCTGGCGTCGAAGTAGTGGCAATCAGCAGCTTAAGAACACTCCGTTAACGAGGTAACCGTCAGCAGGTGTGTGAGGAGGCGGACCGGAACCAGGCGCCTCCTGTTGGTGGAAGGGAGACAAACACAAAAACAAAAAACACAGACAGAAGCCCTGGCAGTGCTCGCAGAGTCTTTACCTGTATCCTTTGCAGGAGCAATAATATTCCATGTGAGTTTGTACCCGTCTTTCAAAAGTACTGAAAAGACACATAAACTATGGTTGAGTTCAGTTTCTGATTTGGAAAATCCTTTTTTCACGTGGTAAATGTTCTTGCATATTTGCATAACTCATACCTATGAGTTTAGGAGGGTGGCGGCCTAGCTGTTAGGGCATAGAGCGAGGAATCCTGAGGTTCTGAATTCGATCCCCCACTCCCACAGACTGCCACTCTGGCTCCCTGAGCAGAGACCATTTTGAGACAGCATTTTGTTGCGCTGTACTTGTGACAGTGTAATGACAATAAAAAAGTTGGAGGAAAAAAAATTCTGAGCGGTTTGGTCATTAGAATATGATCTGCACATGGATGAAGGCGCACACACAAAAAGGTTTGCATACGCTGTCTGCTGAATTGCAAACGCAAATCACTTTGCAGCTCCTGCTCTGCATGTGCAAGCATATGTGCACCTGTTTTAAGACATGCAAGCCTTCTTAATATCAGGCCTTACATGAAAAATATTCCCTATTGCTAATGTATGCTAACCTGACTCCGCCAGATGGATTTGCTCCGCATATCCATCTGGAAACCTTCCGTAGAAGTAATTTTGGGAAGGGGGGAAAATACTGGTTAGCTGATTGGCCTATGTTGGTGATAGATGGGCCAAATAAACCAGTCAGATCAACGTAGCATATGACGTACTAACAGAGCGACGACGAAGAGGAGCCAATTGATAGATCAAACTCATGCAGAAACCAGTCGGGAGAAGAGCAAAAACATCTTTTCCTCTGAGAAAAGCCTCCAGAGCAGTGTTTTGCTCTTCTTTCAGTGAAGAAATACTCTGTAATTCCGATAAAACTTGCTCGATAGCCACGCTAACGCTAGTTTCATCGGCTGAAGCCGCCATGTTCTTTAGACTGAACTGTCGCGCTTCTCGTTGCGTCACACCTCAACCCGCCTCAAAGCCAACACTGATTGGACGTTCGTTTGGTGAACGGCTCCAAATTTTCTTCAACGGAGAGTCTCCAGACTGATTAGCGAGTGAAATCTTGAAAGCTCACGAGATCAGGATGGTCTCAGGAGGCTAAATGTATGGTGGCCCTAAGGCTTCATAAGCAAAACAATGGCCTAATTCAATCCACTCATCCTTTTATGTATCCTCATGGATTCAATCTGCCAGTTACTTTTTATTAAAAAAATATTTTTTTGTGTTTTGCAACTTGTGACAGGGCTGCGTCACGGTCTGGGACAGCTGACCTTCAGTGATTGGACGTGCTACACTGGACAGTTTGAGAATGGCCTATTTAATGGCTGCGGTTTGCTGGTCTTTCCTGATGGTTCCAGGTTTGTGCCTCACCTCATTTTCCTTTATGAAAAATAATTAGTGTTAGTTAGGGATGCACGATTTAATCGGCCCCCTATCGTTATCGGCCTTAAAACTGAATATCGGACATCGGCCACCCCACCGATATTTAACCCGATATTTGATCAGCTTCTGAGCTTCTAAAGTCTAAAAAAAAAAAATACTACTTCTTCTTCTTCCTCAAAAACTTCTTTTTTACAGACTTAAAAACTTCTAAAGACGAGGGAAAAAATATCGATACATTAAAATATCACAATATCTTCATATGCTGATATATTGCCATTTAAAAACACCATATCAATCTCTTTTACTAATGAAATATTGCTATATGTCATCGTTATGCTACGAAATCCCCCGAAAATTCACGAAATGTTGCCATATTTTTATATGTTGATATATTGACGCGGTATCGATCTATTTTACTAACAAAATCTCACAAGAATTTGCAAAATATCACGAAAGTTTGTAACAGAACGATGAAATTTCACGAGAATTTGAATGTGAAATAGATCGATACCGCGTTTTTAAAAATCTATTTGATATCAGCATTTGAAAATATATTTGAGTATATTATTTTTCAAGGTGTCAGAAATGGATAACAAAACTGCTATTTTCAATGACTACTTATTTTTGTCCAGCTTTAACATCGGTATCGATATCGGTTATCGGCTACATGAGTTTTAAAATATCGGCATATCGGATATCGGCCAAAATCCCAATATCGTGCATCCCTAGTGTTAGTGGTAGGCTAACGGAATGCTTTTTTATTCTTCTAATTTTCCTGTTTCTAATTTAGGTGTTTGCTTTCACAGTACCAGAGCAGCATGACATCAGAAAAGAAATTTAAGGTTATTAGGAAAGAAGAATTTGAAATTATAACATACTTGACACTTTGTTCCATTTTTAAGGTTACGCTAACATTTTCATTTCTTTAATTAAAATTGGCAACTCAGTAACTGTTTAGAAATATATGTATATTATTTAAATTATTTTAAAGTGTCACTTCCTTGTATAACTCAACTTAATTCAACTGATTTATGGAAAAATGGATAGAAAGTTAAAAATAAAGTTCAGCAAGTTGCTGCTTGATACTCCTAACAGGAAGACTGTATTTATTCCACTCCATGGCAGCTCTTTGGCTCTGTTATTAGACTAAATGGTAAATGTTTGACTTTGGGTCTGTTTGGGTCTGTATGACTTCATCAAGTTAGTTTCTCTGTTAACATTCCTAATAATACAATAAAGGGAAGACAAAATATTACATTTTTATTAAAAGACTTCCAAATACCTGAAGCTAAAGTTGAATTTTATTGGTTACAGGTTTTCTATGAAGGGAAATGCTAGCTGAAGGGAAACCAAGCCGATTGAATCGAGTTATTGGCTTTGCAGAATACATACATTGTGCAAACTCCCTCATCATAAGTTCATCATCTTATATCACAGTAATGGACACAAAAAAAAACCTGATTTAACCCTAAACATACAGAAGAACTGGAGTCCCTTTACCGTTCTTCACTAAATTAAAGGATCTTTGGTTTTGATGTTTAATTTAGATTTTTGTTGTATAAATTACATTTCTTTGTGTGGTCATCAGTGGCTCTAGACCAAATGTTCCAGGGGGGCAGGGTGGGGCCACCGTGTTTTCATGGGAGCACCGAAAAGCATGAAGTAAAAAAAAAAACAGGGCAAGGTTTCAAATATATCAAGAGCTGCATGAAGTGAAATTTCCATTCAGTTAGGTTTAATTAAAATTCTAGCTTCCAACTGAAAATATTTATTTTCTTTGGCTTAAAAATGTTAATTATCGTTAAAATAAAAATCCCTTAGCATAGCAAAAAAGCAACTCAAAAAATTGTAGCTATATAAATATCTAAAAGATCAAATAAAGCTATTATTTGGAACAAAAGGTGAATATACATTCATAATTTAGGAATTTTACATATTCTTAACTTGATTTAAATTAGAATTACAGTTTTCTATAAAATCAGAATTAGAACTCAAGAAAAACCGATAAATTCAGATGTATTTTTTGTTTTGTTTTGGAAAAAAAAAACATTTAGCAGATGAAAACTGGGGTCCTATCTCAATACCACTGAAGCTATTGCCATATTGTTTTTAAGTAATTAGTAAAACAGAATATTTTAAACACAAATAAATAAAATAGGTCCAAAGGACCTATGAGAAACCATGTTTGTTCCAGCACATATCATCATTAGAATTTCTTTTAGTATTATGTCTTCGGTACAGGGGCCAGGACATGATCTACAGGGGTTCTGGCCTCCATTGGCCCCTGTCTAGAACCGCCCCTGGTGGTCATACCAAGAGTTATGTGCAGCCGCCACCTGACTTCAGCCTGAACTGTTCACAACCTCAAAATATTGTGAATGAAATGTATCCACTTAACCTTGAACTAGAGGTGATTGTCTAAGTTTTTGTTATTTTCTAGTTGTTTGCTCTTGTCTGTATCTTTGTGCTCTGAAAAGAAGCGCAGCAAAAAAGACTTAAAGCATGTGTTTGTTTTTTTAAGAATTTTATTCCTTGTAGACCTTAATGCAGTTCTGAATCTAACCATATTTTGAATGAAGACAGAATTCATTTTCCAGAATCGCGAGGGCGATACTGCTGTGTTTGACTGTTTGTGTTCTTTCAGGTATGAAGGTGAATTTGTGCAGGGGAAGTTCCAGGGAGCCGGAGTTTTCACTCGCTTCGATGGTATGAAGTTTGAGGGCGAATTTAAAGGAGGATGTGTGAACGGCCACGGTAATCAACTCCAATAATCCAGAACTTTTTGAGTACCAGTGAACTACCGATGTTTAAAGGGGGTTGGTTCTCAAAGTAAGAGTTACTTAAATAAATTAGAGTGAGAAAAACTGAATATTGGGAAATAACAGCTGCTTTTATTAGAATTAGACTTTAGACTTACACAGTACAGGTTTCCAGACAGTAAATTAACATTTTAATTCCATAAAGTGCAGCAGTAATCAAATGTTAAAGGCATACTTTGCAACATTTTTCAGTTAATTAATGTGTTCCATAACGTTTTGGATGATTAAATGAGTCATTTCAGGTCGAACAAAGGTTTTCTCGGCCGCCCTGGTGGTCTGTAGAGGAAATGCCGTACTTGCAATTGCAGGAGCCCTCGGCCCGCACCCACAGGCTCAGAAGTCTCGTGCATCGCAAGCGTCGGTCTTGCTTTACGGCGAGAACTGCTACACGCCCCCAGTGGAAGGCATGCTCGTTGCTAGCGCAGTTATCATGGCGGAACCAGCGAGAAAACAGCGAAAGCCCATGTCTCGTTGCTAGCGCAGTGGCGATATTTGTGCAGTTATCATGGCGGAACCAGCGAGAATTTTCAAACTCGAAAATTGGAACAAAATAGTCACTTACCGCAGTAGACGTGGTGATTCGTTGCGTTCGCCTGTCTGCTAAGCTCAAAACAACCGCGCCTGGCTTGACGGAGAAACCAGGAGAACAGCTGAGCATATTTACGACAGTGCACTTTTACTTTCGCCCTCTGGAGGGAGCCTCGCTGGAAAATCAACACCGGTTGCATAGTATACCTTTAAGAGTGTGGGAGAAAAGAAAGAAAAAAACATGGTGCAAAGAAAAAAACAAACAAAAAAATGGTGTAAAGGGACTAAGTTACTCAGCTGACATGAACGTCATTGTAATTAGCATTTCTTTTTTTTGAATCTACAAGCCTATGCAAGAGAAGAAATGCAGATTTTCTCTCCCTTCCTATAATTTTTTTGTTCAAACAGTTCTTACCATATTTAGATAACCTCTGACCTTTTTTTTACTATTTCTTTTTAAAAGGCAGCAAACAGCTAGCCTCGTGAGACCATCCTGATCTCGCGAGCTTTCAAGATTTCACTCGCTAATCAGTCTGGAGACTCTCCGTTAAAGAAATTTTGGAGCCGTTCACCAAACGAACGTCCAATCAGCGTTGGCTTTGAGGCGGGTTGAGGTGTGACGCAACGAGAAGCGCGACAGTTCAGTCTAAGGAACATGGTGGCTTCAGCCGATGAAACTAGCGTTAGCGTGGCTATCGAGCAAGTTTTATCGGAATTACAGAGTATTTCTTCACTAAAAGAAGAGCAAAACACTGCTCTGGAGGCTTTTCTCAGAGGAAAAGATGTTTTTGCTCTTCTCCCGACTGGTTTAGCAAGAGTTTGATCTATCAATTGGCTCCTCTTCGTCGTCGCTCTGTTAGTACGTCATATGCTTCGTTGATCTGATTGGTTTATTTGGCCCGTCTATCACCAACATAGGCCAATCAGCTAACCAGTATTTTCGCCCCTTCCCAAAATTACTTCTACGGAAGGTTTCCAGATGGATATGCGGAGCAAATCCATCTAGCGGAGTCAGGCTAGCAAACAGCAGCTAATGCTACAGCTGCTGTTGTGCTCATTTTTTTTCTCATTCATAAAATGTTCAAATTGGGAACCTGCGTTAGCAGGTTAAATGTTATCTGTAGCCAGGAAATTAAGGACATCTTTATACCGTATTTTTTGTTGCTTCTAGCTTAAGGCTATTGTGTTCTCAGCTACATAAAATGGTTTTATAGAAGTGTGAAGTCTTGAAAATTGCATGCAAGATTAAAAAAAAACAACAAAAAGATCAACCTTAATTTGTTTTTAGTGCAAAACTTCAATACATCTTTAAACAGAGTTGTTATTTTTCTTGTGAATTTACATAAATAAACTAACACTAGTTTTTGTCTTTGTTGAACATTGAAATGTGCTAATTGTCTGGTCTGAAACTCCTCTGAGTGTCTGGGCTCAAAAGTCACTGAAGGTAATCAACACATTTCTATTTTAATGCTGCTGGGTGGTGAAGGCAGATCGACGTGTCACTGTGACAACAGACTTATATCTGGGCTTGTAAAAATAGAGATGGAACGTTAGCATTGCCTCCATTTCCTGACAGGTGAGATGCAGAGAACAGAGTGAAGCTGACAAAGGATTTGAAAGCTTGAGCTTCACTTCTACCTGTCATCTGCAATTTTTAGATATACGTTAATCTCAGCTCAACTGGTCCTAAATATTACAACATGAACAAAGTGCTTTTAGCCAATATTATTATTTTGAATGGCCTTCTTGCAATACTGCCGCACTCTCTGAAGGTTCGCATCATCATGATCAAGGGAGACTCAATTTTCTTAGACTTACTTCTTATTTTGGCAGCTTTTACTGTAGAAACCATGGTGCCGATGATGCCAATGTAGAAATACTGATTTAGTATAATTTCCTGTTCACATAAAACTCGTTATTCCAGAAAGGTTAAAGAACTTGTGTTATCCTCATACTTTTTTCTTGAATCCCATTCCTCTTTATCTAGCATTATTATTTAAAAGTCATTAAACTGGGGAGTGGCAACCTAGTAGTCCCATAGAGCTTGGAATCCTGCGGTTGTGAGTTCGAACCCCACTCTCACAGACTGCCACTCTGGGTCTCTGAGCAAGAGATTTTACCCCACGCTGCTCCCTGGGTGCCCCACAATGGCAGCTCACTGCTCTCCAAGGGGACTGGTTAAACGCAGAGAGTATATTTCTACAAAGTTCAGATCAATAAAGTTAAATTGTTATTAAAATTATTATTAGAATGAATGACGGTGGCTCTTCTGCTGCAGACTCTAGAGAGTCTTTCTTTGCGGTGCATTTGCTCTGTTCAACTTCCTGGCCTGACATGTTAAAGGAAAATTCCGGTTTTTAACACTTTTAGCCCATTTTCTGTAGTGTCCAGGATGAAATCGAATGATCGAAACCAAAATTTTGACGATTGGTCCTGTCTCTGCTATTTGGCTCATGCAGAATCCCCCCCTGGCTGCTTCAGAATGGCTTCCATAGTGCATGTCTGATAATGTCCTTAAAACAACCTTAAACGTTCTTTTTTAAAAATTTGCTACTCACCGGGTCGTCAGCGCTGTTCAATGACGTTCCAAAAAAAAGTTTCGTGAAGAAAAACCGTTCCTGTCTTGTTTTATTTAGCATTTTGTAAATCCCAGAACTATTTTTTCCGATACATCACAACCGCTTATAAACTTCCGCTTCCCATTCGAATCTGAAGCGTTGCACACTCCAGACCACTAGTTGGCGACGGTATCCTCTACCGTCAAACTCAAAGTCCAATATGTCCTCCTCAAGAATCCACCTTTCGTATTCCATTTTCAGAGTTTTTTAAAGTGTTTAACAGAGACGTTAGCACCTCAACGTCGGAGTACACAGAGTGAAGCAGAAACACTTGGGCCTTGCGAAAAGACTACAACTAAGCGTAAAACAGGCCCCATTTCCGTTTCCGGTGGCGGAGGGATATTGACTATTCCAACAGAACTTAATGGGATTTACAAAATGCTAAATAAAACACTACAGGAACGTTTTTTCTTTACGAAACTTTTTTTGGAACGTCATTGAACAGCGCTGACGACCCGGTGAGTAGCATATTTTAAAAAAAGAACGTTTAAGGTTGTTTTAAGGACATTATCGGACATGCACTATGGAAGCCATTCTGAAGCAGCCAGGGGGGGATTCTGCATGAGCCAAAAAGCAGAGACAGGACCAATTGTCAATATTTTGGTGTCGATCATTCGATTTCATCCTGGACACTACAGAAAATGGGCTAAAAGTGTTAAAAACCGGAATTTTCCTTTAAGGTTTGGTACTGTTCACTTAGAAAAATCCAATAAGGCAAACATCTTTCCCAAGTTTTGGGTAATTAAATTTGAGTAGAAATCCAACGATTCAGATTTTATTAAAGCCGATAGCACTAGCGATTATTTTGACATCAGTCTGACCGATCTGTGCTGGGCAGATACTGATCTCTCTTCCTCCTTTGATTGATTAAAAATGACACCATAATTAAAAATATTACACACATTTAGACAGAGACATTTATTAACAAATCAAACAAAACATCAGTGATGGGTGGCTGATACTGATCCCAAAAAAAATTTATAATATTGGCCTAAAATATTCCCCCTCCCCAATGTATCAGTATATCTATACTTTGTAATGGTTTATTTTAACCTTAATCACTTAAAACTAGTGTTGCACCGATACCGATACCAGTATCGGACGGGGCCCCGATACTGCCCTAAAATGGTGGTATCGGTGAGTACCAACAAATAGGGCACCGATACCATTTTGAGAGCCATAAGTTTATTCAACTATTGTCACCCACTCCTGGTAGGCAATAAAAGGTTCTACTGGATTCACTTTGTATTAGTCTTTTTCCTGCTTCACAAAGGTAGGCAGCAGCTTAACAAAGCCATGATGGCGATTATTTTACATTATTATGGTATCGGTATCGGCCGATACTGCACAGCCAGGTATCGGGTATCGGTATCGGCAGTGGCGGTTCTAGACCAAATAGACCAGGGGGGGCAGGAGGGGGCCAGCGTGTTTTAATAGGGGCACAGAAAAGCATGAAATAAAAAAACAGGCCAAGGGATTCAAATACATTAAGATAGCTGCATGAAGTGAAATTTCTATTCAATTAGGTTTCATTAAAATTCTAAATGTCTTAATAGGTCAATATACATTCAGAATTTAGGAATTTTACTTTTTTTTTAACTTAATTTAAGTTGCAATTACAGTTTTCTATAAAATCTGAATTTAAGAAAAACTGTTAAAATTAGCTTTAAAAAGTAGAGTATTTTTTTTTACATTTGTTTTGGAAAAAAGCATTTAGCAGATGAAAACTGGGACCCTATCTCAATACCACTTATGCTATGTTTTTAAACAGTTAATAAAACAGAATTTG